TTTCCATCATCTACCAGGTGGGTCACCAGGTCATAGAAGGATATAGAATGTCACATCAGTCACACAATATCATTTCTATCTCCTGATCTGATAACTTCCAAGCCCAAAGGAGCTTTTAAAAAAGCGGCATATCATTCCCAGTATAAATATTTGTGCAAATAAGTATCTAAGTACAAGTACTAGCAAAGTACTCTCTTGCTGAGGTCATGATTTTGAACAAAATTTTGCCTGAGTGTTCACAGATGTTAAATGAAAGGGCAGCAGCAGCTACCCTTTTAAGCCAGTTTTGTGATTTGGTAGCTAAGGTAGCCTGTCTTTGTGTGTTTTGTGGGGTTTGGTGGGCTTCGTTTAGCTTTTCTTTTTTTTTTTTTTATATGGATTGCCCAGTTATATTATGGGTTAGTCTGAGTCTAGATTTCAGAGAATTTGCTGGTGGTAGGGAGGCAAGATATGCTTTTCATCCCTGTAGAAAAAGTTGACCAAATTAGGGAAGGACTAGATCTTCTCTGGGAGCTGAGCAACTCGTGTATACAGTTCAGGATGGTGTGAAGTTGTAGATCAGATAGCCACTGGATGTCACTGTTGTTCTGCAGTTGGGAAATAGGTACATATTCTCCTACAATATCTTCTTTCCTTTTGTGTAACGCAATACTTCCGGAAAAGGTAACTACTAAAGTGAGGAGCGTAACTTTATCCTCGTGGCTACGGAAAGGTAGTAAAATTCCCCTTACTTAAGAGATTGGGGAGCTAAGGATGGTCCCCCTGCGTTGGGACGTATTAATAATACTGGTAGGTTCTTAGCAGCTGAGATCTTTCATGTAGCAGCAATAAAGCAGACATTAAAAGTCCTATAAGAATAAGTATTTTCCAGTACTGTATAACCTACTAATACAAAGTAAGATTTAGTTCTGTAGCCTCCTATGAGTCTTCTATCTTATCTCTCTTTTATCTCTCAATTTCTTCTTAGGAAAAGCCATTGATTTTGTAGTTCAGAATGCAATGTCAGAATCCCACGGGGGGAGACCCAGCGCATCAAAGGTTGCCATAGTCATCGTGTCGGGGAGATCAGAAGACACCGTGGAGGCTGCTGCACTTTCTGCAAGAACGAACAGTAAATCTCGTTTTGCTGTCACTATTTTTAAGCAGAGTTGTTTCTTTTTAAGTAACGCACTAGAACAAAGGATGAAAAAATTAAGGCACTAGTATTTTCATATAAGTTCAGGACTTACTGTGTGTAATGTTCTGGTAAGAAACAGGCCTGAACAAAATGTGCCTGATGAAGATGCCTTTGAATTCCTGGTAAATTCAGGAGCAATCTGCAATTTAAGCTGAACAGCTTCCATAGGCTTCACAAATTAGTGGCATTTCATTTTCCAAGGTCCTGTGGATGGACAGGGATGACAGAAATGTGATCTAATATTATAAATTCAATACTGTTGCAGTAAAATGAATCTTGAAAGGTTCACTATAATAATAAATAGAGTCTGGATTTGATCAGATTCTGCACTAACCTATACAGTCAGCTTCCTTGAGTGTTCACCTGAGGAACAGTGACTTCCTTTGTAGATTGCTTTGGGAGCTATTGAATAAGGCATGGACTAAATAACAACTATTATTTTTTAATTAAATGGCTTGAAAATAATCCAATTGCCATATAACTGATGAAAGAAAACAACATATTGTGATTTTTTTACATTTGGAAAAAAGTGAAGATGTTGTCATTAAGTCTGCAGCTGTGTTTTGTTGACCATGCATGATCTTATTATGCTTGGGACTAATAGAGCTCATCTTAGCTAACACTAATTAGAGCATCACCATTTCTGCTCTTAATTGCCTTTAGCCCATGTGGGAGGGAGTGATGCAAGTAATACATGAAAATTAACTGTTGGAAAAAAACTCTTCCCAGTTATTTTTTTTTAAGAAGCAAATGAAAAGAAATACAACAGCAAAGACTTCCTTCTCCTGTGCATTCCCCATTTAAAACCTTTTCTTCTCTTTTCCCTTTTTTTTCTTCTTTTCTCCATTTTTGTAGGGGTATCCCTGTTTCCAATTGGAGTTGGGAACATATATGATGAAGAGCAACTAAGGACTTTGGCTGGGCCATCAGCTGCTAACCGAATCATGAAGCTTCAGAATTTTGAAGACTTATCCACTATGATCACATTGAATAGTGAATTTATCAAAAAAGTGTGCATGGGTAAGTCCAATATAGTTGTAGCCTCATAACTGGAGCAAAACCCAAAAATGGAAGTGCCAAAACCAGAATGATTTTTCTTGACTTGAGAGGTCAGCCCAATGTTTCTCTGTTAGTGTTTCACTGACAATCATCACAAATGCTAACCTAGACCACCACCATCACTTAGGTATAAAGCAAAATCTGAGCCCTTCCAGCATGCAGCCAACTGCTATTCTAATTAACCCACTTTCAGCAAGGTTTTTAAAAGTGCTTAGGCCTGAACTTTCAAGCTGCCATCTTATTAATAATCAGGGCTGGTCATTAACTGAAGGACATCAGGAAAGCTCAAGCTACCATGAATGAATGGGGGCAAGCTTCAGAAATGTTATTAGTTGTGAATAAAGATTTCAAATTACATATTTTTCTGCACAGACCTAAGCATTGTTATGTGTATGTCTACAAAGAATTCAGCCAAAGTGTAAGGAAAAAAAAAAAGAATAAGAAAGAATTAACTTTTCCAGGAAAACAAATACTGGGGAAAAAAGTGTAAAATGTTTTAAATAAACGTTCATTTATTTCTAGATAGCAATGCCCCCCATCTAAGGACACTTGCTTCAACTCTGGCCAGTATTTTACTTCTTTTGCTTCCTCGGTCTGTGTGTATATAGATATTTATTACTCATATTGCTGTTGTTGTTTCTATTACAATAGCACCTATGTGTCGTCTCCACAAACCACTGTCTCATTGTATTAGTCATTGCACAGGTTTTTACCAGCTTTACTAGGGCTTAGTTACATCTCCATTAAAATAAGTGGACTTTTTTGCAGAGCCAAGTACCACTAAGAATGAGGAAGTTGCAGAGTGTGCACAGTCCAGCTTAGAGATATCCGATCAGTCTCCACTGGGATCACGTCTGGCATTTTAAAATCTCTCCAGAGCATCAAACAGCTGCCATTTTCTAGATTTAAACAGCTGCCATTTTCTTTCTTTTCTTTTAAAATAAGCTTTTAAAGATGCATTTCCTCTCCTCACACTGTAAAATATGTGATTTTCTTGCCCTAAATTACATTGATCCAAGATATAGGATGGGGAACAGGAATTTGAAACCAGTAACTATTTTCTCATTGCAATCTGTGCTATAACCTATCAGTACTAGAGGTGAAAGTTTTGTATTTTTATGAAACATACATCCAGCCTTTCCAACAGCACAAAGCATATGCTTAAAAACTTGAAAGATAGATATCCTACAGTAGACACCTAAATCTGAAAAATTTAGCTCTCCCTTTTGCTGATGGTACAGCCTTTGCTGTGGGGTGGGAAACTATCATCATAATCTTTTGTTTTGTTTTGTTTTATTTAAGTTTCCTAAAATCTGTAAAGTATAATTTTCCCCTCCAGACTCATACAGTTGGATTTCTTGTACAGAGGGAGTCTTACTTTATGTATGGAAGTGTACCAAAAATGATACTGTTAAAAAGGTTTAAAAGATCTCCTAAATGCTTTCAAAATACATTACTTGTCCTGGAAAAGACAGAGCATATAGTATATATATGCTAGCATAGTATAGTATTATATAATGAGTTTACTAGTCAGAGTTTTAATTTCCTAGACACATGCTTATCACATTGTCATACCATAGTACGTATATGAAATTACTTTCCATATATCTTTAGGTGTGTTATGAGAGCACATACACATAGAAACTGCAATTCAGTGGGTGCCTTGTGACCATCTAACTGATTATATAAAAAACTACCATCACAGTAATGCCTGAATGTAATGAAACTGAATTTGGGTATTCTTATTGCAGCTATTTTCATACTTAGCTAGTTACTCACAAATCTTATCTTGGGGTTACTCGCTGTATTTATCTTTCTGCATTTAATAAAAATGTGTGTGCATGGGTGTGTAAATTGCCATTACCTGCTAATTACGAGAAATATTCTCAATTCATCACAAGATTCAGAAGTAAGTCTGGACCCTGCCTCAGAGCTAAAGCCATAATCATCTTTTAAGTACTGTCTGGGCAGAGGTATATGTCAGTACAAGGAGTGCTGTAGAATTATAGCCTACCTATTGCTCGCAGGGTATTTTGGGACCAACGTCATTGCAGAAGTCACGTAATGCTAGCAGTAACAAAGTTTATGCATTCTTTGACTTACTCTTGTACACTCTGGACAAGTGCCTGTGGTCTTCAGGTAGGGATTCTCACATTCTAACACAAAAAACCCTTCTTACAGCCTAAGTCACATTTTTAAGTAAGCAATCTGTATTTTGGTGACCACAGCTTAAAAGGCTGGATAAGGGAGTGAGATGACTAAAAGATGTCTGTTTCTCTTTCAGACCCTGTCAGAGAATGTATAGATGAGGATGGAAACAAAAAGAAAGTAAGTGTATTGCCTGGGTCATCCATCTGGCTTTCAAGTTACAAAGTTCATGCAGGACCATGAATAACTTCATAAATAACCTGAAAAGTGTTGGACGATATTAAGTATTAAGAATTATTTTAGAGGAGGAAAGTGTTGGCTTTTGAACTGATGGGATAACTTTGCACACAAAGGTGACTTCCTCTAATGACACCTGATCTTGCAGTGTGTTGAATACTATTGAAGGCAGCGCAGAACCAAAACTTGTGACAGTGTGTGTCTTGCCTGACAGAGAAAAATGTATTTCCATCTCCTGGATGGAAAAGCTAGACATGGCCAAAATAAAGGTGCATGTATAGGGGGAGGCAATGTCATTGTCCAGATCCTCTCCTTCTGCTAAAAATACAAGTACCTTGTCCCTATGAAAATTTTATAGGAAGATAATTATTGTGTGATAGTCATCTCTCTAGGGAAAACCATCTCTTAAGTAATGAAATCAAAGTTCTTAGTGTTTGTTTGCAGGAAAGCCTTTATTAATCCTGAGTAAATGCTCAGAAATGTTAGTAAACCTGTCTGATCTCTCAAAAGTGATCTGCTCTAAGAAAGGAATGATGTAGGTGTTATGAATGGTTCAGTTCCTTCATCTCAGGTGAAATGCAAGATTTTTGAGTGTATATGATACTTCATGCATTTAAAAACATTAGCATAAGCTTGTTACATATTTTCTTGTAGGGGTCAGTTATGAGTTCTACCCTAGGATTTATCTTGAATTTCCAGTACATTAAAAATCTTTGTTTGATTTTTCCCTTGTGAAGACATGACCACAACACTGTAAGGAAGGATGTGGCTAATAAAGAAATGCTTATGAATTATCTAGACACAGGGAATATATCAAAGCTGCCTTACACAGTTGGCCTCAGTCAGCTGGTCAGAAATCAGAAAGGCTTTACCTAGATCAGACACTAGGTATAATCTGGTGGCTTTGAGGTTGACAACTTAAGAAAAAAACAACAAACAAAAACTAAACTTGAAAAACTTTCTTAATTAAAACCAAAAAATAATCAGATTTTTGTTATTTATTCATTTGAATTGCATGTGTATAGGCCTCTGGGCTCCTAGAAGCAGACACAGGTACATGTAAATAAGTGCTGGGAAGCGTAAACTTGAATTTCAGACCTGTCAGGTTTCATTTTTTTGGTGTTAAACTTAAAGCACAATTTCCGTTCTGGCTAAAATGCTTTTGGAAGAAAAGAGGCCAGGCTCCAGTCCATATAAAAATGAACCACATTTTCAAATGGTAGCCTTTAGGGGGATTTTGTGTTACCTCTTCTGTCAGCCAGAAAAAATGGGTATTAGAAGACACTGCCAACGTGGTAGCCATTGCCTTTTGGAGCAGGTTCTTGAGCATCCTGTGGTGCCTACAGGACACCATGGAAGTGCTCTGCCTCTGGTGTTCGTAACTCACACTCTGAACTCCTCTGATGCCTCACGGGCAGTAACGTGCCATCATTGGCCTATTACCCTGTTCCGGCATAGTCCACAAATCCACAGGGATGAAGAATCAAGGCTCCTTCCTGATTCAGAAAACACAGGCTCTTATGTCGGATCCATAATATTTCAGGCGCTACTCAGAGGGTTACTGCAGGAGGCTTAGTTCCCCAAGTGGGATGTCTGTCATGCACCTGGAGATTGTGAGAACTGACCTCTTGCAGTTTGCAAGGAAATTAGAGTTCTCAGGATCAAAAATCTAAGTCTAAATCCTAATCAGTATCATGAGTGATATGATTCATTACATTTTTTTTGTTATTACCTCTACCCTGGAAATGACTGTCAAAGGAAGATTCATGGCTACGGTCACTGTTAGTAGCAGAAGGACGGAAGATCAAATGTGCTAGGTCAGGCCAAAAATCCATCCAACCCCTTTCTTGTGTGGCCAAAACTAGAAGTCAGGGAAGAATGTAAGTAAGTACATACGAAAATTCCCTGAACTGACCTAGCCTTGAACAACTTGTGACTCAGGGACACCGTGAGCTGCGAGTGGTACCTTTTTGTATTTGATAGTGCTCAATAGTTTTCTTCTCCATGAATTTGTTCAGTCATTCTTTGAATCCATCTAAGTTTCTAGTACTCATCATACCAGTGTCAAGGAGTTCAAATAGCACTAAATACAGGCTGTGTAAAGAACCACTGTTTTAATATTTGAACTTGCCAGCTGACAGAATATGTGAATTATTATGATAGACTAAGTTTCTTTTAATGTAGTTAATTCTCATCAGTATTCTTGTTTTGATGCTTTTGAACAGGCATAAAGGTGATAACAGAAGTGTAGGTACTTGTCTTATAATGGTAGCACTTCACGGTGAAGTGATCTGCATAGTGATCTTCTGCACTTCTGGTCTATGTATGGCAGTAAAAATCACATTCCTAAACTAGCAGTTTCTGTAACATGACCTTTCTAGTATTGTTCAGCACTTGGTTTAGAGAAGAGCAATGAAAAAACCAAACAAAACCCTGACTAAATTAAAAGGTGCCAGCTGATGAACCCAGTCGAGGTACATGGCTCGCACTCCTGCAGATGCACAGTAAGAGAAAAGTCCAGGTCTCTAGGTTCAGAGCTCCCTCAGAGAGGAAGTCTGAGGCTTCCTCCAGTGTGCTGGCAGGCTCATCGGTTTCAGCAGACTTAACCTTCACAATTTAGAAACCTCTGCTTTTGCTTTCCTTTCTGTCCTATTCTTACTCCTACGATTTCATATCAATTGGGATTTAGGCTTTCTTTGTCTTCAGAGTCCCTGCATTTTCCTCTGCACCAGGATTCTTGGCTTTGTTTGGATCCTTCCACTGATATTTTTGTTTTAATGTGCTGTGCTTTGCTTTTCTTTTCCAGCTCTTAGATACTTTCCAATAGATGTCCTGTTAAGGAGTGAAGTAAAAACAATTAAATATGTATGGAAGCCAAAGGGTCCTTTGCCAGACTTGCACAGCTGTATATGTACCCTTCCAGGTGCTCCACTTTCAGTGAGTTGCAGGCGAGACAACTATAATTAAAAACCATTCCATTTCTTCCTATCTAAATATTTTTTCCATACTTAAAGCTCCTCATGTTACTTTTTCACAGCTTCCTCTAGGCTCACAAGCCTGAAAGGTATTAAGCCACTTTCAGGACAAGTTCCCTTCTCACAGTCCTGAAACATACAAAGCAGGTCCAGTAAATTAACTTGCATGTAATATGTAAATTTTTATGGCTGCAAATCTGGCAGTTATCTTTTAGACTTGATGGTATCACATAGGTCAGAGATAGAGAGCAATACTTTCACATCACTGTTCTTGGTTTGCACGCTAATGCCAAGAAGTCTATGACTTAAGCTGTGGTTACCTAGATATTTTGCCACATTGCTCTTCTCTTTCATGGGAATGATAGGTAAGCTGAAAAGGAGAGGGTGGGAGATAACCTTGCCCAATAGCAATCATCATTTCTTCCCCACATGTTTCTGCTTGTGAATATCAAGAACTGTTATCCAGCTCATAGAACCACTGTCTTGTTACTATTGCTTCTGGACTCACCTCTGTAGAGATAGGTCTAGAAAGGGCTGTTTCCCACATTTCGGGATATTCTTGGGAATGCAGGCCTCGGGGATGAACACTCTGTTTTGAAATTCATTGAGCCTATTTATGGACTTTAGAGTTCTGTGGGATTGGGGCCAGAGAGCTCAGCTTTTTGCAGATAGGAATCTTGAGATATTCCAGATTGTGACCACATCTATTTCTCTGTCATTTAGTAGTATGTAATCCTGGTGCCTTAAAATTTATACTGTCCTTTAGAAGATGAGAACATATTTTACATTTTATTTTTAATTTTACAAAACCACTATGTATATCTAATAACATTAATCTGGTAAAGGAACAATTTCCCTTCGGGAAGGGAGGAACTGTTTTAAAGTTTTGGAGTTGTGTATAAAATAACTAGAGTGAATATTCCACGCCTTTCT